GCAAGACACATCAGGAGTGATCTGGATAGTACTCACCGCTGGGCGTGGTGGACGAATGGGACAGGTGCGGAGCTGGTGCTCATGGGATCCACAGTAGAGACATAGGCCACGGGTGAGTCTCCGAGATCGTTCCGTGGACGATAGGTGGTAGCTCTCCGTGATCATGGGCCCGTGATCGGAGAGGCTGGGTGAGGCAGCAGCAGCGGATATCGATTCTTTATGGCACGCGGTTAGGTGCTGGGAGTTGGCCGAATACCTCCCGGAAGTGTTTCACAAAGCCATCCAGCGAGTGAATCCACGGGCTCTGTGCATTCCACAAGGCTTCGGCCCACTGCAAGGCTCGTCCAGACAGCAATGAGATAATGAACGACACCTTGGCCCGCTCGGTCACAAACAGGTGTGGTTGCATCTCCAGGTAGAGGGAACATTGCAGCAAAAACCCGCTGCACAAGGCTGCCTCACCCGAAAAGCTTGCTGGCCGGGCCATGGGACAGGCGGGTGGGGAGGCGGTGACAGTCCGGATGGGTAAGGGTTCCGGTGAGGATGTGCTCCGAGAATCCATGAGTCCGTGTTGTAATCCGTTTAATTTTGAGGGGCTGGTCTTCCGTCAGAACCGGGATAAAGAGGCAAACAGACAGGTTAACGTAAGTTGGGGAGTTTATTTAAAAGGAACTTAGGAGTAGCTTCCAACAGAAAAGAATCAACTTAGGAATTAATGGAAGCAGAGAACACAGTCTTATCTGGGGTCGGCACTTTGGTCCTCCGGCCGAGAACTGAGGAATCCGAGGCTTGACAGGCAGATCGGGAGGCAAGGAACCCATACAGAGCAGCTTGTAACCTTGAGACCAGCCGACGAGTGACTGAGGTGAGTGTGTATTTGACTGGTGTGGTAAGTGGGTGCAGGTGTCCGTGATCAGTAATCAGGTGATTGTGAGCGGGTGTAGGAGGCTGATTCGGCTGGTGAGGCAGGTGTTTCCATGACAACGAGAGAGAGTCTGGCCAATTTTTGCACCTGGCTCCAAAGGAGCTGCTAAGCAAACTTCCTTTCCCCGTTGTGACGTCTTTTTTCATACACATTTTGGCCTCTAAATGGACAGGACAGCTACAACTGCTCTCGGCTACGTTTGGTCAAACCACCATGACTCGATCAACAGAACCTATTTTTGCAGATCACCAAATTTTGCATAATAATTTGACATGCACACCTCAGCGAACACAGAGGCCATGCACCATCTGTAAAAGCGCTACCAGTTAGCTTGATTTCATTTACGCTGTCATTTTTGTCTCGTAATGTAATTTGATGGAGACACTGCCTTCTCTGATCCTTGAAAGCGTATCGAGGGAATTTATTTTCCTGTAAAAACAATTTCCTCATCGTGTTGGTTCTAATGACTAAAAGACTTGTTAGAAGCACTTCCATACAGCAAATTTGACTTCAGCATAATGAGCTGAATTTGTTTCCTCCGAGTTGCTCTGCTAAAACAGCAAAGTAACATAATTAGTTTTTCTTATTTGTCATGTTGGTAAAACTACTTTATGTGGCAGGATGCTTATACAATCTAGACATTATGCCTTAGTTTTTTTTTTTTTAAAGCATTCCGCTTTAAAGCTGTTGTATTGATTATATTTTCCCTGACAATAAGCATGATGCATTCACAAGTTCCTACTTACGATTTCCGAAATCCAAAAAGTGATTTTTATCTGAAAATAATTGACTTAATACAATTTCATATTTCTCTCTTTCACTTATTGACAAAGTCAGGAAGCTTTTATACACTAACAACATAATGAAGATTATATCTACCTATTTAAATCAAGATACAAAGAAATGGTGTTGAAAAAATATAAGGCTGAGGGAGGGATCAATGTGTTCTAAGGATTGTGATGTGATGGTTATTGTATAAAAAACGGTAGTAGGGATGATCATAATTGTTCTTACTATTAATATTGATACTATAAATGGTGATATAATTACAACAGAACGGGGTACGATTACATAGCTGAGCAAATAATAATGATAATGACAGGAGCAGATATTAATGTTTATTATAAATATTATTATTGTTATTATAAAACTGTGATTTAACAATATAATAGGATATGGTTATATTTTATATATTACATGATTATTATAAATACCGGGACATATTAGAATGTTTATGATAATGAGGATTATTATAATGTATTATTGTGATTATTGAGATGGACATATTGTATTTGGATATTTGTATATAACTATTATAATATCACATAAATTATTAGTAACAGACAATGGCAGCAACCATATGGTGTAATATATGGGAATGAATTGGGGGTGGGAGCAAATAAGTTCTACTTCTTTCCACTCCCTTTCGAGCAAGTATTATATGTATAAATATGTGTATGGATATGTGTAACATAATTGTATATGTATGGATACATATATATGTGAGATAAACTGTTCTATTTTTCTATGTATGTGTATTGATATATATATTGCTCGAAATAAACTTAA